TAAATAGAGATTTTATGCCTAGAGTTTCTAAGTGCCTTTTTGGTACCATGATTGTCCAAAATGATGAGCCATTTCCGTTCTGTAAATGTCGTCGTTGTTTTTTTTTTTTATGTAGGCAGAATGAAGACAAGGCTGCTGTCGATTATTTTGCATTTTCTTTTTTCTTTCTTCATTATAATAAAATGAAAATAACTTATGCATAGCCAATTTGGAAATATTGAAAATTTAATTATAGTGATCCTTGACGAATCAGCCGAAATGCAAGAAGCCATGGCAAATTTACAAAGTGTAAGCAAGAGAATATATAAAACAGTTACATGGTATTTGGCTTCTTATTGTTAGTGTTAATCGAGACAAGTTGATAGCTTGCAACTTAAAGTTTTTTAACTTGAACGTCAATAACAGCAAAGTAGTTTTCTTTTATGGGCTGTTGAAGAATTTCGTTCACTAAGGTTATGCATACCAAATCCTCTTTTTAAAGACTCTTTGGCAAACATGATTCCATAAAGTTGAAAATCGTTCAACTTTTGGAGCTTGGAAAAATTTTCAAACATCCCAATCAACGATTTTTTTACACAAAAAACAACGAGAATCCCAAAAAGGAATGAATGGGATAATGAAACGCCCTCGATCAAGTAGCCATACCCATATTCGATTAAAAAAGTGAACTCTCAATAAATTTGAACGTAATATTATCATTCCACTGCAGAAGTCTTTGCAATGATGGAAGCCACCGCGTAGCTTCTCAAATATACGGTAGCAGAACTATCAGTTACAATATATTTCGATAATCAGGCTGCTATCAGAACTCAAAAGTGTAACATCATCACTAAACGTAGTATTGCCATGGTCTTGTTACCCAGACGATGAGAGTTTCCAGGCATTTGGGCCGCACACGAACTGGTGAGAGAAGGAACACTTCTATTCACAATAAGCCCTGTACACGAAGCATATTTCCCTTTGCCACCTCTAAAACCGGCCTTTGCCAAAAATCTAAGCACTAGACAGCTGAATGAGATCATGTGCAACTTGACCAGACAGGTTTGTCCAAAAATGGTCGTAACAAACACTACATACTTTATCCTTTTAAACCGGTTATCCATTAGCATATCGATAGGCAAAATAACAGTACACTGTTTAATGGGTCTTCACGAGAGAAGAGTGAGCTACCACTTTAATGATTTTTGGCGCAGCTGAAGGGACGAAGAGAAGAAAGAGTCTTTTGCGCAGCACCACTTCTTTCACTGTCTCACTGAGCTAGCTTCAGAGAAAATTGGTAATCTCGTTTCTTTCACAGGCCACACGGAATGGTTCGGAAATTTGTGAAGGTGAGGATAGAAGCTTCATAGCGGTATCACAATGGGGTTATTGGCCTAAGTGTGTTGGTCACTGACCAACAGCCGCATCAACTGAACTCAATTCAACAACGGTCTATATTTTTTTATTTCAAAAATAAACCACAAATCTAATTTAAAAATTTTCTCATTCACAATTAAATATTCAAATTATATGTAATCAAAACATAAACGAACGTGTTGACAGACTTTGCGCTGAATTGAATTAATAAATAAAGAAATGTGAATTTGTAGAATCGCCTTCGATAGATTCTAGAATAGTTTCAAATTTTTATTTAATAAAAAATTCAACGAAAAAAAATTTGTCGTGAGCGGCACAAAATATTAATGCTCCTCACAAATGGAAAGTCGCTTTGACATATTTTTTAGTTGCTGCTTTTGGCTTTAAATAGCCAGATTTGCAGATTGTCAATTTTTTTTTTTTTTTTTTTCAAAATAATTTTTTTTTTTTGACAAAAAATTAATTTTCGAAAGGAAATTGTCAAAAAATTATATTACGAAATACCATTTTCCAGTGAGAATAACTAGAAAATAAACCTTCGTTTGATATTTATCAGTTTCAGTTCGAAAAAAAAATTTACTTAATTGAAGTAAAAAACCTTAAACTTCAAATAAAATAAAATTATAATAAATTTATTTTTATTTTTCAAAAAAACTTAATTGACAACAAAAAAATCTTGATTCCTTTCTATTCAACAGCTTCACATTTCATTAAATTAATAATCTTATGAGACTTTTCACGTCCGCTGCAAATTAAATCGTAACAAAAATTGTTAAAATGGAATTAAATTTCGAAAAACAAAAATTAAGTATGAAATATTTAATTACAAAATACGAAATTTACTTTACACAAAAATGCCTCTCGAATGCACATACACTCATGCATACTTACATGCCGTAACTCTCACCGTCAACAATAAATGAAACTCATCGAGCGTATAAAGTCGTCAAGTGCACAACCACAGTTATAATCACCATCATCATCAACACAGTCAATACGAATAGCTTCCACGGCCACAAGCACTCAAGCGCGGGCGGCACCACTAACTACTGTGACTGCTAAAGCCTCGCCTGGTTGCTGCATTGACGACAACACAGTGGTACAGCACATAGTTGGATTTACGTAGCCTATGCGCAGGCGCAATGGCAAACGCGCTGATACTGTATTGGTGGTATAGGTGCCGCCGAGTCAGCACAGGCTATGCACCAGCAAATTCTCCTCTATGTAGCGCCACTCATTCAGTTGTTGTTGCTGCTGCTGCTGCCACTTTTTCTGCACTCATTTATTGCTTGTTTACTTTCACATGCATATGTGCTTGTTTATTTGTTTGTTTGTACTTTGGTAATTTCAGTAATGAACACTTTGCTGTGTTTTTGTATATTTGGGTGTTGTTTTTTTTTTTTTTGGTGCGCAGCTGTACTACGCTCGTACTTGCGTCAACTACTCATAAATACTCGTAAATTCGCCTTTCATGTGCATTCATTATTGTTGCAATTATGGTAAAACAACTTTTCTGCGGTTTATGCTCGGCGGCGTGGTTGAGTTTTCCATTTATTTTTTTGCTGCAATGCCAATGCCTTACTAGCGCCACTCAACCTACGCGATAACCCTTTCCAACGTTCATTAAGCACTTCCCGCAGAAGCGAATAATTTTTGTAGTTTGTTTAAAGTTCGTTTTTTGAAATTGTTTTTTTTTTTTTTTTTTTGTCGTAGTTTGTAATTTGCGCATTATGTGCTTATATTCGGGCATATGAAAGCTTAAGTGCATGGTTTAAGGCAGATATTTACATTAGATTGGCACAAAAATTTCATTAGCAGTTTTTCATAAAATATTAATAATCATTCGATAGGTCAGAAAAGAGGGTTTCGATTCAAGCTTATGATTTTTTTTTGGAGCATCCCCGAGCGGCTTTAGGTACTTGTTCGGGTTCCTGAACCAAATTGTTTAGTTTTTTCTTAGCACTCAATTTACAGGATAGATAGAGGATTGTTTGAAAATGAAGACTTTATTGACTAGAATTATCTGATTTATGTCAAAAACGCACCGTTTTATACGATAACTTTTTGCAATTTTCAAGGTAATGCGATTTTCAAGGTAATGCGATTTTCAAGGTAATGCGATTATATCTCTCTCATAGAATCCCTGCTCTCTACTGCATACAAATTGGGATATGATAACGAAATGATGCGAGGTTTGGACTATATGATGGATGCATAAGAACTTTCCAATCAAGCTCTCGGAGCTTCTGACGTGTCGCAATCGATGTGCGCGATCTATCGTTGTTCTGATGAAATACAATTTCCCTTCTGTTGGCAATAGTGGGACGTCTCTGAGCGATTGCTTCCTTCGAACGCAGCGATTACTAATAGTTCCAGTCTAAGGTATTAGCCGTAGCACAACAGATCATAGTGGATGATTCCATACTGATCAAAATTAAACACACACAAAAACTTAGAGACAATCTGTGCCGCCTCTCTGCCCTTCAAGCGTCACGACCGTTTCGTTTGACGTTACTGTAAGTGATCCCCTTGAAACTCGGTACTTTTTTCTCGTTTACTCATGTAGCACCCATACACACCGAGCATTTTTATGTATCTAGCCCATTTCCAAATGGTTCCAAACTGTCTTTTGGCGATGAAGCGCCACCAAGAACCAGTGTTTATCACAGATATGATGAATTTAATCATCGTCGTTGATCACTGCAAGACATATTTCATGGAAGTCGTTTAAAATCAGTCTTGTTCGGGATGATATTGATGTTGTGCGTAAACGGACCCTGCAAGATCGTCATGCGACTAATTGGGAGACAACTATAGGCATAAGTGGGATCAGCATAAATTAAATATTGTATGAACATTTAATTGAAATAAAAAAAAATTGTTTACGTTAGAGCCAACACAATTTGTCGCTCACTCAAAGATAAAACATCAATCTACACGAGAGTTTGATCGAGAGAAATGTTCAAACTATACGAATGTGTTGCTCTAAAATTTATCTATGTCATAGCGACAGTGTAGTTCTGACTTGGAAACAAATGACTTCGTTTTATTCCCGAACGTAAAAAATAAACTGACAGGTCAAGGTTTTTTGACACATGATCAAGCAGTTCATGCGCTCAGAACGCATGTTCTGGAGTTATCTCAACCAGAATATTTTGAGAAACAATAAAGGATTTTCGATGATTAAAACTATTTTTATTCTCTTACCACGAAATACAATATAAAAGGCAAAGCTCGTAAAAAACATGTATCTACATAGAGTTTAACGGTGTGGATCTTTTTCAAGGTCTAACTGGTAGACAGAGTGAGTCAGCGAATTATTATATAGCATGGCCGCAAAAACAATTATGAAATATCCGATTATTAGTATGACAAGTATCTCAAACTTTGAGGTGGATGATACCTCACATCCTGCATTTCTATCAACTTGTACTTGAGTAAAAAAGTTAAAATATATGATCTAAATCAATACGGATATCTGATCTGTCCTCGACTTTTTCGGCATTTAAACACCTACATACAAATATTTATACACCCTTACATAGATATAGGGTTGTATTTATGACTTACTGCCTCGAGCAATAGTTTTAGTGTTTTTTTTTTTCTTAATTTCTCATATTCTTTGTTTTCTTTTCTGCTTTCAGAGCGTAAACTTTTCGTTGGCATGTTAAATAAAAAATATAATGAGGCCGATGTGAGGCAGCTGTTTACGGGACATGGCACCATCGAGGAGTGTACGGTGTTGCGCGACCAAAATGGGCAGAGCAAAGGTTGTGCATTTGTGACGTTTGCAACGAAGCACAATGCCATTGGAGCTATTAAGGTAAGTGTACATACGTATGTGTGGGTGTGCAATATATAAATGTGTATATATGCATGTACGTATATGCAAATGACTGAGTAAGTGAGTGCCCAGTTGCCACTTAACCGCTTGCCATTTCCCACTTGCCACATGCCACATGCCACTTGTGGCGGCAACACCACAACGATCAACGATGCGCATAAATAGAGCGCGCGCGATTTATTTTTGTGGCACAGGCATTTTTAAATACCCTTGCATAGCCACTTGACACCATCCTCCTGTATGCCTGTGTATGTGTTTTCGCTGCAGTTTCAGCGCATACTTCCGTATGCTTAATCTTTTGCAACGAGTACAGCACAGGAAGCAGCTCGTTTTCATCTTGAAGATTTCATACCCGACGCTTTTCTGGAAATCGTTCTTTGTTTTGCGCGCTATTTCTCATAAACCACGCCAACGGCAGTAGACTCTTTTGGCTGCCTTCCTTACTTACTCCCACTCAACCACACACCAAGCTCTGTATGTATGTAGGTATGTATGTTTGTGTATACCCATTCAACAAACGTGGGAGTGAATAAATGAGGTAAATGACCCAAGAAAACAAAAGTTAAATGTTGAACACCCTGCAAAACCGCTTAAATAAAATGCATGCGCTTGCCTCAGCTTGGCCTCCAATGGGCATACCCCTTTGCACGTACATGTGTATGTCTGTTTGTGCCGCATATAGCTCAGTGTGTGGCACTTGACAAATTGGCGACAGTATCATTTTGGCTGAAATACAGTGGTCGTGGCAACAGCAATAAAAAACACTACAACAACAACAGCCGCTGCAACTTCAATCACACAATGCAGCTCAACTGCAACGGGAAATCATGAAATAACAAGTTGAATAAAAATATACTTATTTTCATACTTATTCTAGTAAACATATAGTTATATATGTATATGTGTGGGTAGCAGCATCGTTGCCACTTATCTTCATAAAAAACCAAAAATCAGCACTTCTGCTTTCGGAAAGCCGAGGAAATATTTTCAAATTGCTTATTGAAAGCTCACATGGACCTTTCCGAATACATATGGCGGATCCGCTGGCTTGCGGTTTAAACCTCTATTGGATGCAACTATGGAGGTATTACGCCACCAAAGTACACTCTCAAAAATTCAAACGACGGCGCTGATCAATCAACCGAATATTTTATTATTTGGGTTCAGACATTTTTACCTCTTTTTTCTTACGTTTTTTATTACCTTAGCAAATATAATCTCAGAAGGCTTAAAGATATTAATTTTTTTTATATAGTCCGAGTATCGCTTAATTTTGAAAAATGTGAGAACCTGTGGCAAAGGACCTAAAGCCAATAAGTGATTGGCAGATTGGCAGGCTTAGGAAGCAAGTTTAGTAGTAAGGCTCGAATAATCTCATCTGGGCTAGTGCAAAGACAACTTTTAAATTACAAAACTCTAAAAGTAAAAACTGTGACTGGTATGAAGTAAGTAAAGTAAAAATAATTTTATATACATATATAATTTGCGCTTTGCAACCGCTGAAGCGAATTTCTGCCGAGCTCGTCTTCCCATTTGTGGTTTTTCGTCTTGATGCTTTTCCAACAAATGGCAGGTGCTACAGTTTATACTAAGCCGATACCGACTTATGGTTTTTTTTTCTTTACAGGAGCTTTATTCCATGCTAGAAATACACTCGGAGGGGCTTACATTCCCTGCCGAGGGCCGACCGCAGTTAGATTTTTTTAAGTAAATTTATTTTCTATGACTTTATGATATCTGTCGCACCAGGATATAAACCCTGGCACATTGACGCAATGCTATCCACTCCGCTGCAGCGATTATTTGTAATAAAATACCAAAATGATGAGATAAAGCCTTCACTATGAGTATATTCTTATACCCTCCACTCGAAACTCCACACAGTAAGGTATTAGAGAGAAGCCTCTTAGAACAGTTGTTTCCTAACAAAGGAACAAAGGTGGAAAAATATTCACCGGGAGAAGATAAAATCATCATCATGCAACTGTGATTAGGAACAAGCAAATTTAGTCGATGTCATAGAGTTTGGACACGGGCTGCTTCGTTAAGTGCGGACTGAAGGGAAAATGGTATCAGTTGAGTAGATTTTGAACAACCGGTTAGGAAGTTGTTCGTGGCAGAGCGTGAATGATTAGGTTAGGATTAGTTTGGTTAAGTATCTCGTCTGCTGTTGATGGTGGTCCAGGACAAGCCACTCCTAGGAAGAGATTGATAAAAGTTTAACTGACTCTTTGTGAATGGCGTTCAAGGTCTGTTGGTTGCAAGGCTTGTCCAGCGATTAGCTAACATATTTTTGGAATTGAAATCGTAGAGTATAATACTTCTCGCTGGAAGAGCGGCTCTGGTTCGTGCAGATATCCACAGTAGCTACCGCTGGGAAGTAATTCATAATATTTTGACCGATAGTTTTGTAAGCTACTGGAGTTTGAGTTATATGAAAGTGACAGTTACTTACAGGTACTTAGTTCTCACAAATTTCAATAAACGTCATGGATACTCTTCATATTTACTGCTCGTCGTTTATGGTCGTCATAAATAAGAAAAAAAACTTTATATATAACCAGCAGGTGTAGGAAGAAAAAATGAAAAGGATATTATGAATCCTGGTTTTTTTCAGTCAATGGCTTTTTGCAATAAAATAGAAGAGTAAACGAGGCAAGCTTTTCTGTCGGGTTGGTAGTTTTACTACTTCACAATGAGCTTTTCAAAATTGAATACCCCTTTTAAATGGAGGAAAACCTTAACCTCCTTAATCGCTTTTACCACACGGTGACTTTCTTCAAATACCGATTGCATCTGGCAACACTGCATGGCGAGAACAAAAGCTTTAGCTTGGATTACAATGTCACTGCCGGGTATAAAACATGCTACATACCGCATGCCACATACACTGTTTGTGAAGACCACTGCAAGTAACGCACACCCACAGCCTACACAAGTATATATTCATATTCATATATATAAATAAATATATACATACAACAATAAAATATATGCCGTTGTGATCGGCTGAACCGGCGGCTGACTAACAATGTCGGCAACAGCAACAACCACGCTGCAATATCGGGCGTTACAAGAAAATAAATTGCAACGGATAAGCATTACACATAAATATTAAATGCATCGTGGAGTAGAATGCTGCGAGAATGTATGAAGCAAGGAAGAAAGAACTATGGTTATCCTGGCCACGGCGACCATAAACATTAAAAACTGAAGTTGGCTGTAGATGTGTTACGTGGCATGAGCGCATCTCTCCCGCTCTTCCCCTATCTGAGCTGTCAGATATCTGTGTTGCATTTTCTCTACTTAGCCTTTTTCTTCTCACCAATATATTTTTCAATGTAAACATTTCTTCTTCTTGTTGCTGCTAGTTTTGTTTCTTATATTCTATGCTTACAACTTTTCACGCGAATTTTGAAATTTATAGCGTAAATGTGTTGCTTGTTTCGTGTCGTCGCGACTTGAAAAAAAAAACAAATATTGCCTACTCATATCGATTTTATATATTTATGCCTATCCAATGATATCAGCAATGTTTGTATGTGTTTACACTTTAACAAACATACGTCTGATGCATCTTCGCCAAAGGCAACAAATTGCATAAGGAACTTTGAGCATAAGATCAGCAATGTCTTCTCTCGCAGATTTCCATTAATTTACACAATAATAAATATGTAAACAGTAGGATATATTGTGTAGTCATATATGCAGTTGTATTGTAGATAATTCAGCATTATTTTCCTTATGCCGCGGTGGCTAACAAAAGATCCATGCGAAATTTTCAGTGTTGGAAAATTAGATTTTTATATTGCCCATTATTTCTTTTTATATGCTTGAAAAATTAGCATCTGCATTCCTATGATCAATATAGTTACAGTTTCTGTTAACTCTTTTATAGCTGTAAGGCTTCTCAGAAATATACATTAAGACTTGAAAGTTTCTGGTTATCGTTTTCTCGATATATACGATTTGGTTAAAAATGACAACTTGGGAAATTTTTTTAAATTCATCAGAAACTTTTCTAAGATTTGCTTGCATGATTGAGATGAGACACAAGCGAAAAAGGAGTAATCTAACTGTATCAAAAACTAGTTACGGTTGAGTGCAGAGCGTGCACAGAAGACGGGGAAACGCTTAGGCATTACCGTTTCTTTGTCTCAAGCGTTATTCATTGAAAGAGACTTTTACCATAATTTTCATCTTATAGGACGGAATGTAGAATCTATCCCCCACAGAGATCTCACATTGTTGATAGGTCTGGAACTTCGATTTTTAGTTTTTATAATAGAATATACTTCAAGCTACGTCGACGAAATAATTTGTGAAGTACTTTTATTTCATTTCACTTTATATTATTTTTATTTTATTTGAAACTTACGAAAATTACATGTCATGCTATGTCATTTGAGGCAAAATGTTTGATGTGATATGATGCGATGTCATGTGATGTGATATGATATCATGCGATATCTTGTAATATCATGTGATGTTATATCGTCTGATAAATATTTATTGTGATGTGATTTCCCTTGATGTATGATTTTTGTCAGCAACCATAAAATTATTCTAAGGCAGAAGAATCCAATAATTAACTAATAACACATTTAAAAATATATTTGGTATTTTTTTCTAAAAATTTTGAAAAATTTCTACTCTTTTATCTTAAGCAGTTATATTAAAATACAAAATTAATTTTCTGTTTTGTTCAAAACGCTATTAGTAATGTATTAAACTAATTGTAAATTCTAAGAATACTGAAATATTTATGTAAATTACTGTACATATGAGTATATGTGTTAGTATGTACTTTTGAGTACTTACCATTGCAACAGGAAGTTTATGATTTAACTTCGTTTCCCTAGCATTAGTAGTTGACCTCTTCCGTTGTTTGTATGTAACTACATATATGCATCCATATACATACGTATGTACGCCTAGTGAGGAAGTAGGAAATTCCCTAACACAATCTTCTGCACTTAACACAGTACTACGTGAAATGCCTTACAAGCGCAACATTGGCGTACATATATGAGAGCAATGCAGCACAAGTGTTGGTGCAATTAATCATCTTGACAGTTACTGCAAAAATATAGCCGCGACTTATTGCAAAAAGATATGAAAATTTTCTAAAGTAAAGATAAAATATAACCTAGAAATAGAACTGATTGTAGAAATGCAATTCTCAAGTGTCAGGACAATCTTGTTGGTGGGAAATACGTTTTACATTTGGCTTGAAGAGGTTTAAAAAATCGAAAGTACAATAGAATAGCAGCTGTTAAAGAAATGAGGAAAATGGGTTTTGCGTAAAGTATGTGAAGTTTACTGGATTTTGAGATCATCACTGGGAGCTTAGGTTCATAAACGATAACGATCACAATAAAAGTATAAATCGAAAATTCTTTCAACTAGTCTGGAAAGAAAAAAAATATAGGATCAAATTATATTTTCCGCATGACGTTTTGCAAATTCCATGTTTTGAGAAAATTTAAATTTAACAACTTGCCAAAGAAGCCCACACTAATGGACTTGTGACAGCGCCGCTGATGAGACTGTCTCCAACAATTTAGATCTTTGAAATGTTGTCTAAAGCAATGGATCTAAGGTTTTCCCTACCAACGCAGGCTTAGGACAAATCAAAGAGTTGATTACACTTAACTGAGGCGAACTTGGTATTCTCGTAGGCGCCCACTTAACACTGATATATAATCTTCAAATAGGGTATTAGCTGAGGGCAGAATATGTAAATAAAGTTACGAAACGATTTAGAATGAGTCGATGAGTCGATTCAGATCCCGGTCATCTCCGTGATTCCGCTAACTCCAAGCTCTGCTTTGTGTTTAAAGAAAATAAAAAAGTTCATCACACCAAGAGAACTGTTTGCAAGCTGATAGTTGAGACTCATTCGGCAGCTTCATGAGCCGGACCGAGGACTTGCCGTCATAATCTCAATTTTTCTGTAGTTCAAATTACTAATATGTTGAAGAATTCCAATTTATAGGTGTTCCAATGCCTGGCATTCAGGTTCTCAATTGCTCTCTTCTAGTATTTTCCAGAGCTAATTCACTTTTTAAAAATATGGATGTCTGGATATCTAAATTGAATTTTTACTTACCTATTATTAATTGAAACTATGTGATTTGTTAATCTCGTTCTCAGCGCTGAATTATGCCAATCTAATTGTTTCTTGGCATCTACCTCTGCTCTTCTTATAATTTAAACAATTTAAGGCGAAGGAAATGAGAATTGTAAACGTTTTAGCTTAAAGAAGAGCAATATTTCCGCTAGCTTCCTTCTCACTCAAGTAACTGACCTTTACCGTTATATATTTAACTTCCTTTATAAACAGTTTCAGAGCGAAAATACCACACTCTCTTCGGTACCTCACCATAATGCCTTTTCACCAAACTGTAAGTGAAAGCAACAACATCGCGGTTGTAATGCGATCCGGTTAAGCGAACAGGCGCATTTGAAGCTGGTCACACAAACAGTTATGTGGCTTGTTGCCCAATTTCAACGAAAGCTACAATAAACTCTGCTCGGACAGACAAGCGCCCAGCCAGCCAGCCAGTCAGTGGTCTTTAATTACCGTCACCATAATTCTTGCCCACCAACAGACTTTCGGCGGCAGTGTAGTATTGTCTTTCATTGCATGAGAGTAATTAGGAAAATTTCCTGCGCGTTAACCCGCCGGATAAGCAGCATTTGGTGCGGCAGACAGTGTTTAAGACAATTTTCTCTGGGTAATAATTTGCCGGTTGCACATATAAACTTACTGGAATACTCGTGCAAATGTGAGTATCTAACCCAGTCAACGAGTAGATCGGCAAGAAGCGATTATTATGCAAGTCTTTGTGAGTCTGATGAAGAGCATTTTGAAAATTAAATGGATGCAAAAGAACCTCGCTGGCGGCCCCTTAGCCGAGTAGTTAGCATTGTGTCCTGCCTGAAAATTAGTATGAATAAGAAATTAAGTTGAATTTTCTAATTTCGTTCGCCTCTCGGCAGGGAATATGAAGGCCTCTGAAATGCTATTGCAACAGAGCTGAGAACTTTTGAATTCCCAGAAATGAGCTGAGAAGTGTCTTACTGGCACTTCGTGCAGGGTGAAAATGTCAATCTGATATCGCTTGAAGATTTTGTGTCGATCCTTTTCAGTGCTTTGTTTCACGTTGAAATCCAATTTCACTTCTCAACCGGGTAGTTTAAGGAATGCAAGCTTTCCTACAACTCTCGTTGGGGGCAATCCCTCTTTTGTGGCCTGGGTTACAAGTACACAGAACAGCACGAGCTGTACGAGAAGACCATGCGTCTAGGTATTTTATGCAGTGACGTTAAATTAAAAACACATTTTCGTATCAAGCAGAAAATAAAATGAGAAAACTTTTCACATTTATTTCAGACATACATATACTATATATATATATAATATTTTATTAATACACACAAGCACACGTATTCTACCACACGACAACATGATTTTCATGATCATCATTATTCTATGTCATTTCAGGCACTACACCAAAGCCGCACCATGGAGGGCTGTTCAGCGCCGCTCGTAGTCAAGTTCGCCGACACACAAAAGGAAAAAGACCAAAAGAAAATGCAACAACTACAAGCCAGTCTTGTTGGCATCACCACACTGACGACACCACCAACAGGCTCTATCACCGGCTTAGCTGCGGCGCCCAACAATGGCCTCAGTCCAGCAGCTGCCGCAACGCTAGTACCGAGCCCCTTAACAGCGGCTAGCGTACGCTCAAATCCCTCGATGTCAGCAGCACTTGCAGCCGTAGCTGCAGCACCACAACCCGCAGCTGTTGCAAATCCTGCCTCTGCACTGGTGCCTACATCGGCAGCGATCTCAGTGTCGCCATCACTATTAACTGCCGCCGGCAGTCCACAACAAACATCGCCATACCTGACCACTACGGACGCTATGAATGCGTCGGCAGCACAGCTGCACCTATTCCAACAGTTGCAGGCATTCGGATTACATCCAGCGCAGTATTTACAAGGTGAGTAGCGATAGTATGTAATAATGGCAGTAGGCAGTATTAGTAGTAACAGTGAGTGAGTGACAAATGAGTTCAACAAAATTAAACACAAAGAAAACAAAGAAAACACAGGAATACTCATTATAAGAATTCGGCGAAATACATGAATTTTTTGCCAAAAGCGAATGAGCGCTCGATTTTGGAAAGCGGCAATACTTTGGCGGGAAATTTAATTACATTAAATGCCCTGTATATACCTACATAAGCATATATGTATATACATTTTTTTCTTTTTTTATTTTTTTGAAACTCAATTTCATACCCTTCATTGGTAGTGCATAGAAGACTTCTACAGTGTTCTTTTTTCTCCTACTCTATTTTTACAACACCCGAGTACATCCAATATCAACGATTCCCACCTTTTTTCTCCCTCAAAATGTTTGTCCATGTATTAGAAGAATTCAAAATTTTCTGCACACTTTTTGTAAAGCTTTCTTAGTTGATTAATTTTGTTCTGTGCCTGATAACATGTTTTTGTTGTTTTCTCATACGTGAGTTTTTACAAAAAAAAAAATTATAGAGAATGTTTTTACGTGTATAAATGTGCCTAAAAATGCATACTTGCTTATTTATATACATACGTATGCACATGTGTCAGTGTCCAATATAAATATTTTAAAATACATACTGTTACAAACATAGTACCGTTAAGCACTCTACTAGTCTGTTAGAGCAGCTGCTATTCATGTTTCTGCCAAAATGTCAGTTGCCACAAGAATGTAACAACAGTTTCGGTCAATAGTGAGTAAAATATCTCTTATTGGTAGTATATTGACAGCCGACATGCACAACTAAAGAAGAAAGAAGATGTACTTACGTAATATGGTTATGTAAAATAGCTGTATTTAGAATATGCTTCTAAGAATGTTATTTTATATACATAAATATATACATATATATATATACATTTTATTTTTCTTCTGTATTTTAGTCATGGAAACAGGACGCTAGGTAACGCTGAAAAGTTCTCATAAAGTCAAATGAAAGAGGTTGCTCATCAAACCTATGAATTTCCAATTTAGTATCGAATAAAAAAATTCTAATTACCAACAACAGAAAATTATTATTTGCAAGAATTTACCTATAATTTTCTTACACAAAATCTTTATACCAAGCTTTCTAAACTCCCTAGAAAAAGGAAAATAACACTTTCCCCTGGAAAATAATATATTAAAGTTTAAGAAGCTGAAAATCAGATAGAAGATAAAATTTGTTAACAGGAGGTCTCAAAAAATAGGGATGTATAGGTAGGTTAGGTTAAGCTGGCTGACCTATTGTGTCTCACATATACGAAATACCTCCATAGTATTGCCAGGAAGACTACATGCGGCCAAGCTGTCCTGCCTCTTTATAAATAGTAAGCTATTTGTTATATGTTTACACATTGTTTTTGCAATTTTGCAGCCCTCAGCTTGTTCACAGAGTCTATTCGCCTGACATATGGCATCTGCTTCACTTCTTTGAATAGAACTGGGAGATTTAATGCTGCTTCCTGTTCTAAATAGACACCGTCCTTATCAAACTCGTCAGCTATCTCATTATCTTCAATGCCTGTGGGGCCTTGGACCCTGTAAATTTATGCTCTTCTATTTCAATGGCGTCTTTTTATAGTGCGACCACAGCTGACTTCGGGCTATTTGAAATCAAAGCCTTGATTATCCACATAGATGTGTATTCTTTTCCTTTGAAAACTAGCACAATGCAGCAGCTCTGCTGCCATTTTTATAGCGAAAATTTTGCCTTGAATGATATTGCAATGGCATGCTAGATACGACTTCCTTATCTCTAGTTGGGCGCAGTAAACTAAAGCTCCCACCACTCCTTCGTTCATTGAGATTAAGGCGAGACTACGTAGTCTATTCGTACTCTCAAGGGCAACGCCGTACTACTATGCCCATAGGACTTGACTTTCTGCTGCCAAGAAACATGAGGATAACCCATAACCCGATGGTAGATAAAATGCATAAAAATATTTTAACACATCGTCTCAGTTGTGGTGAGAGAAAAAGTGTTTAAGATTTTTTTTCTAATAAATAAAATGAAAACATCTTAAGTTTCGCTTTATATCACACAAAATTGTGGGCAATTTACTTAGCGAGTATTTAGCGAAATTGTTAGAGATGTTTCTGATACCTGACTTAGACTTAAAAAAAGGTTTATTTTAAAAGGCATCCATCTTTTAACCTTCTATTTATTCATTTTTTTCAAATATCTGCTTTAATTTGGCGAATATCTTCAAAAAAATGAAATACTTTAACTTTACATCATTTATAACTATAAACTCTATAGATATTGGTTCAATAAGTTGAATAGATATAATATATCTGAATAGAAATAATTTAGTCTTCCCTCCCAACTCAACTTCCTGAGAATAGTTAATCTATTACTACAATATTAATGTCTATTGCTTCTGAAATACGATGAAGGGAGAAATCTACTCTAAATTGTTAATACCAGTGAAGCAAAGTATGAGTTGGCAACTTTTTTTATGGAAAAATCCACTACGCCAGACCGTATTTTACTCTTCCAGCCATCTTTTGTCTACCTTCCTTCCTTTGATCTTCGTGTTTCATACCACTTGTTTGAGTGAACTCAACTACCTGCAATTTTTTTTTCAAATAACACTGCCCCTTCCTACTTGTTTCCGCATTTCCGTCGAAAATGACTGCACCTTGCGAAGCGACATATAAAAAAGTGTCGTAAAAGTGCATTTCAATTTAAATTTATTGAATTTATTAGGTATTCGGACATATGTGTATCGAAGGTGCCGATGACTTTGCTGGAGTACTCTCAGAACAAAACGTATCTGCCTATTAAAAGAAGTAAAAAAAATATGCAAGAAACGCTCCTCCATCATCAAGCTAATCAGTTTTGAGATCAAGTAAAAGACTGAAAAATGTTTTTTGGAGGCAACTAAGAAGACAGTCATTGTCTGCAGGAAATGCAGGGTAAGGGTAGAGACAGTACGGCAAGTATTGTAGTGTGTGTGTTTCCTGCGCTCTGCAGACAATAGATGATATCGCTAGGCGAGAATAACATTCAGGGTCTTAAGCCGTCGAAACCGGCTATTTCAATTTGTTAAATGTTCTGTTAGCTAAAGACATCACAGGACGGATAGCAGTTCAAAATAGTCACATGCAGTCTATATAAAAATCTTAGCTTATGCTAGGGTAATCCCTCCATCCACGCGAATATTTCTACATTGTAGCAAATGTAAAAAAATACAAATATTTTATCCAACGTTTATCTCCAAAAAAACTCGTTCTGGACATTTCAGTGAACTCTAAAGCTTTTCAGACAAGAGAATAATAAGCTGCGCCATCCGGACATAAACCTATCGGTTGGCTTTTAAAAATATTTTGCTCCGACTGCAATGTATAACTTATATTTCTTTTCTCTGCTGCCTCCAACCCTTCATATTTAAGTGTTTGATTTCTTCTAGATGGAAATAAAAAAAAATGTTAAATATAATAATTTCGTCTCTACATAAAACCTCTATAATGCCTTGCAAGGATTAACAAAGACCCAAAAGTGCAAAGTCGCCTACATACCTACGTAAGTATGTACACTGCATATTATTAATAGTATACATTTAAGTATATGTGTATGTGCCTAGTAAGTACTATGTACTTTAAAAGACTAGCAAGGACATATGCTTAAAAAAAAGTGCACAGAAGGCACACTTGTAATCGGATTAAATGTGCTAGCGTTGGTCCTGCATCCTTCACACATATTCACTACTATTGTATCTGTGACCTCCTGCTGCAAATACAAAACACCAAAGCAAATATACAATCTACACACATACTCATCTATGTAAGTATGTAAATGTACAACTACTTATGCTTGTTCGTTTAAATTCACTTAGAAGCATTTCGGCAGCGCCATGACAACGTCCCCTTTGGTGATGCGCTCACAAAAAACGAGCCTGCATAATAATATAATAATAATCGGACGTGAGCGCCAACACGGCAGCAGTCATGTCAATCATTTAGAACCACATTTCAACTTGGTCACCCCCAGGGCTCGCTGGGTGAGAGGGTGTAGGATATTTGTGTGGATATTTCAAGCAAATTTCTTTGCTTTGTCTAAAATAAAATGCGCAAAGGACGGGTTGGGGTGGAGTAAAAAGAGTAGGCAAGGCATCAACCGCATGTTGAGTTCTTGAGTTATGAGTTATGAGTGTAGACATGCTTGCAATTATTTTTTGTTTTAACTATAATAAATTTTAAATCATTTCAGCAAGTATGTTTACATATAAATATATGTATGTACAATATATGTAAAATATTTCTGACTTACAATTGCATACATAAATGCAAATGTTATGGCAAACAAATATACATATCTAGCCACTCGCATAAGCTCAGCTGTCCTTTAACCATTCTGACGCCTAAATTAACAGAGGAAGTCGTATTAGTAGTGAGTGCAACTAACTTAAATAGGGGTGTCCATATAGATAAAAACAAAAAAATGTCTATGCCTACCAAAGCAGCAGTAGTATTTTAGCTCTTCCAATTTATTTCAGCTGTTGTACTATTCAAGATGTATTACTATTATTGTATGCATTTATTATACAATAGTTGACTTTTTGAATATAAAATATATAAAATGTCCACACTCTCAATGCTGAGTGATCTTTCACCATTGGACTTATGAAAACTCAAAAGCTTAGTATGTTGACAGATAGCTTAACATATTCTTTTCCTGACGGTACCAAATTGATGTACCCTTAAAATTAGAAAACAAATAAATACAATTTTTTAGCATTAAACGCAAGAACCTGAAATGCATAAATAATATTTTACTTTTCATAAACAAAAATAGTAATCTTAGCTTCTACACATTTATTTTCGAATTATGTTAAACATGCATTGGTTTTCGCTAAGCACCGCTGAGAATCGAAAAAAATATTTTTTAAGAGATAACCTAGTTACTGATCGAAGGTAGTAAAGAAAACTTCGGATTAATTATTTACAAAAAATTTAAATTACCAATCTTCTTAGATAAAGTTTTAGTTCTTTATGCTTTCCAAAAGCTCCGCAGATTTTATTCGAGCCGACTTAGTGGCTTTTAAGTTACTGTATAGTGTAAAATTAAGAAGAATTAAGAAAAAACATTTAAAGTCTTACATGAGTATTCCGAAGCATCCGATAATGAGAACAAATGCAATAAATAGAGAAAAAATGCAGATCTGTGAATGTACAGTAGTTCGCGAACAAGAATAATCCCAGCGAAATAAACCGCAGAATCTTGAGTCTTAAATGGAAAAGATATCTCTCCTAATTCACCAAGCTAATAGCAATAACCTTCAACAAGAAGTGTGGGAGTTGAGCAGCTTGACCCAACAAAAAAAAATTAAAATTCCATTGAAAAGTTATTACACTTTGATTGGTATTTTGTTTGAAATATCTATATTTGCACTTTAAGGAAAATTAAAAAAAAATGTAAAGTTTTAGTTTTAGTTTAATGCTCTTTAGTTCCCGCCCCTAATTCTATTAATACCACAAATAATACCAAAATTAATTATCTTGCCATTTCTAAATACTGCTATTAAAAGATAAGTAGATGTGACTACTGACAGAACAACATCGACATATATACCTGGCTGAAGTTCTACCAATTGTAATATAACGATGTTTTTCTGCCCACTGGGTTTTAAAGTATCATCATAATTTCATTGGGTCATCTTCTTTGAAAAGTAGTCACACATTTGAGCAGAAAGTTCATACGAAAATTGGCGATAGATTTGTTTAAAATATTCAGAGCTCTTCTAACTCAAAAAAAAAGTTATTTTTTCTTTTAAAATGTAATAATTACCAACTTGACCTTACAGTTATTTGTGTAGATAAACTATAGGAAACAAGAGAAAAATCAAAACAAATCTGATTTTAGGACCACACATATGAGGGTTGCCTTTTATATATTGGAACTAGACGACTTTAATTAAATATTTGACCTTTTTTAAGTCATACATACTCGGAACGTTTTGGCATACAAGTGTTGTGCCTACAAGAACTTAAAACACAATCTCGGGCAAATAAATGGAATTACATTGCGAACATTTTTGCACGTTTATTGTAGCAACTTCCGACAGCGATTAACTCAGCAGCAGTGCATCGGGTGAACTAAATTCAATTCAATTAACTTGGTGTTGAAGTTCCGACAAGGACCAGTGTTCAATCTGGGACGTAGCTCAATCCAAGGCAAATTTCATGGAGGTCACCCAAAATTGCTGTTGTGCGCAAACTATTATTCCAAGATCGTCATATGACCTCGTGGGAGATTGAGATAACTCAAGGCTTTAGTGAAATCAGCATTTATTCATTATTTCATGCAAATTTGAGCGCACGAAGCACTTCTGAGAAAATGGTTGCCAGTGTTTTTTGGCAAAAAAAGTTTTTAAAAGCACACCACAAGAACAATGCGTAACAGTGAAATCTGTGTGATATAAAACCATTTATTTGCCAATTGTCTTTCAAGAAATCTTAAAATCCAGCTGACAGATCACTCTTCACCAATAAAATACGAGCTCTCAGGCATTGAGCCATCAAAACTACGGTCTGTAGTGGATGACATAGCTCTGTCCTTACACTGATTGACTCCTTTTAATGCCCGTACGTAAAAACTAATTTGTGAGATGAACGTTTTTTCACATATGAAGAGGTAGTTGATACATTCAGAACGCTTTTTGGAGATGCCTCCTCAATTAGAATGGCTAATTGGGTCAAACACATGCTGAAGTGTTTGAATTTTAAGGGAGAATATTTTTAAAGTTAGGAAAGCGATTTTCGATTATGGTTATTTTTCTTTTGTTCTCTAATCCAAAAAAAAAAAAAAAATGTTTACCTCTCTGTTTACCATTGTATATTGTCTTAAATTGTTGTTACATTCTTTAGGCTGGAAAAAAAATTTATTAAAAAAATTCACTTGAAGTATTTTTATTTTTTATTTTATTGCTTTATAATATCTAAAAATATTATAAACGAAAGATGTATATATATTAATAAAAAAATTCCATTGTATGTATTTTTGTTGTTTTGGTAGAATAAAAGACTTTGTTAGCTCTCATCTGTCTGTGCTCATCGCCTGCCACCCACTCAATTGACTCCTTTCGTCTCTTATTTCCCTCAGTTGTAATATCGTTAGCTTTTTGATATTCACATGCATATGAATGTGTGTATGTATGTCTTTATGTATGTCTGTATGTCTTCCTATTGATTAAGCATGCTATTAGATTTAAGTTTTACATCACACATACACACATATATACATATTTATTTGCATATGTAATATATATTGCCTAGATACATATGGATATATGTTTGCATGTATGTAAGTACGTGTGAGACGCCATAATGTGGTTTTACAAATCAAATTGATTAAAATACGCTAATACAATAATGACATTAATTAATTCGCGCAAAACGCTTTCTATGATACGAATCTCATCAAATGCGGCATTGCAGCCAATTTAGCCGCTAAATAATACACGCTGGCAAGGCAAATTAATTTCCGAGTTGTAAAGCTATAAAGTCTCAATTTGTTCTGAGACAATTTTATTTATTTATAGCATTTAATTTTGTTTTATTTGTTTGTTTTAACCGCATTTTCTTATTGGAATTTTTCTAATATTTTTTTAATTGGTTTTTTTTTTAATACTTGCGTTGCGTTTATGCTAATTACAATTTTGTATTTTACATTTATTTAGTATTTACATATATTTAATTGATTTTTTTTTTTGTTGTAAAAGTAGTTTTCGTATTTTTTCAATTTTTACTTTTTTAGTATGTTTGTATGATTTTTATACGTAAACATTACTTTTATATGTATGTATGTACTGTATGTCTACCTATGTATATGTATATCTATGTATTTGTTTTTATTCAATTATTTTATTTTTTGAAATTTTACAAATTAAACTGCAAATAGCAACAAAATAATAATTTTTTTATGTAAATGTAAATAATCCAATTGGGTGTGTGTTTTCTTCTATGTTTATTTTTATATTCGTTGAACATTTTTTGGTATGTCTCTCTCTATGATTGACTCTGTGGTCATGTACAAATACAAATCCAAATCAAAATCAAAATCAAAATCAAAATCAAAATCCAAATCATAAAACCACAATCAAAAATTTAAACAAAACCAAAACAATCCAAAAATACAAACCTTTGATAAATAAACAATAAAAAACCAAAAAAAAAAATGGAAATATCAGGACTAAATTTCCCACCGGATCACAGTGTCACAACCGCATCTTTATCGGCCGCTGCCGCTGCCGCCACCGCCGCCGCCGCAGCCAACCACCATGCCACCACATCAGGTGCAGCTGATGCGTCTAACCAGCCCAGCAACAATGTTGGCAATGGACTACTCTCAGCTCGATCCATTCCGATGCAGAACTTGGTAACGCTAGCCACCTTGGGCGCACACACTTATTCACCAAACCAAACGCTTCATCAGACACACAGTCATATCGTCGCTCAGGCACAACATCAACACCAACAACAGCAGTCTCAACAGCGTCAAGCCCATGGTTTATCATATGCGAACGCGCAAACTTTAAGCGCAACTACACAGGCACAAGCACAGGCGCAGGCACAGGCACAGGCGCAGGCGCACATAGCTCACCTACTACAAACGCCAATGACGATGACTGCACAGCTGACTGGCGCTCCGACCAGCAATATATGTAAGTATTCACCGTAGTAGCAGCGATATGAAAATGGGGTCTGTATATAAACATATTTATTAATATTATTTACAACTATTGTATAATGTTGAATCACATACACGTATAATAACTAAAATTTTGGGATACAACAGCAAAACTTTTTTGGGTAAAATTAAAATTAAAATTCATAAAACTTTTTCTTTTTTTTTTTTGGTAAACCAAGTTATGCTGTTATACACCAAACTCCCAAAACCATTACCTATATTTCCTATATTTCGTTCTTCATTTTTCCCAAGTAACGCACTGCATGTGTATTTAATTATCAAATTAATGCGCCAACATATATATATATATATAAATAACGTATATATCATATAAAAGGTATTTATTTATATACCCATTAACCAAGCATCCCTTAGATATTTCAGTTTTTGTTGTTTTGCTTTGGCTTAGCACATTCGCATGCTTAAAACAATAATATGATAATGATTAATATTTAAATTAAATAAATAAAAACTGAAAAACATTAATAATGGAGCACTCAGATTTTTATAAATCACTTAACGTAGTGACCAGCGCTAAAGGAACTTGTTCCATCGCATTCAGCATTTTGCAAACATATTAAGCTGAGTTGTGGTAAAAAAAATAAAAGATTTACTATTATTAAAAAGCAGTAGCCTTAAGGTGTTATTGAATGTAAACAAAATGTTTACCAGTAATCATTTATTTTGGAGCCCTTCGGACAGCCAGTAATCGCTGGGAGGCAAATCTAGGCAATAGAATAAATATGGGAGCCAATCGAAGAATAGATTGAAGAAGCTTCTGTCCGTCAGCTCACCTAGGCCACACTTTTGTGAGAAATAAACAGTTACTCGTATTAAGTGTTTGACGGAAACACTATGTTCACCGTTATATTCAATCCAATCGTCCGAAAATCGCTTCAGCGGTTACAAAGCGCCAATTATATTAGGTGTAGTAAAAAGTAATCCATTATTTTTCCAATAGATGTCGTTATTTATCTGTATCTCGCGCTGTCTTAGTCCACTCGGGTTCCACAGTTTGCGCGTTGGCATTATAAAGATGTTGTAGATGTATTTCGTACTAAAAAAGTTCTTTTCCTACAGTTTTGTGATTGGTTGATGCAGTTTTGTTTCAGCTGCAGCTTTTCTTCCTTTGGGGGCGAAAACGCAAGCCAGTTACTACAGTTACTGCATCGGTTTCAATCCAGTAATTTTGATGTAAAAGATGTTTTACGAAGGGAAGGCCAATTGTCGAAAACGTCGATAAATAATGGGCATTATCCAGTCCGGCCGTTATGTCAGCACATTTTCGATTGCCCAGAGAACATTTCTAAAGCTCTAAAGCTCGAATTTACATAGACACGATTACATACAATATTATATAATTTCATTGTTATGATCTATGTTATCTTTTAATTGTATTGATGCTCCTTAAAGAGTACGAGAATGTTTACTTCACAAATATCATTCCTACTAAATTAAGTTTACATTTTAGATTGCATCAGACTTGAATTAAAATTTTATACATACAAATATGTTATTTCCGAATTTTCGTTGTTATTTTATAATTCAAACATGGCCGAAAATGTTGAATTTCATAACAAAAATAGCCAACACCATCATTGAAAATGAATTTTTTGGACCAGAAGGCAAGAGTCGAACTGAGCATGTTTATAACACAAAGCATATTTACAAAAATAAATAGTCTACATTTGGTTTAAAATTGATAACTCGAATTACCGCAATATGTTTGGATGCTAAACCAAATAGAAAAATCGAAGAATAAGTGGTAATATTATTTTAAAGGGTGATTCTTTTGGTATGCAAACATGTTCTCTTGAATAAAATAATTTTATTAAACTAGTATGACTTAATTACAACGTAAATAAAGGAGTATACATATTTATTTTTTTATATATTTATTTTATTAAGGCATCTACTTTAAAAAAAAGAGATGACTTTCGTGTATGAGAACACATTTAGTAAGTTTTGGTATTCACTTCTGCATACAAATAAATTTTCATTTAAGTCAAAGAGAATAATTACCTTTATCTATGAGGACTTTTGTTGGAAAAACTCTTTTGACCACGTTTCTCAAAATAGTAAACTTTCAAATTTGTACAACTATTCAATAATGATTAACCCAATAATAGACTAATTATGAGAAATTATACTCTTATGATCTATGTTTATTTTAGGCCTACACTGCGTATACGTAACCCACTTGTAATTGCGATGGTCAACAAAATTGACATTTTTTATGTCACAGGAAAACATATGTCAAATTTTAAATGTATTTGGTACACCAAACAATATTTTGTCAAAAGAAAATTTGTTCGCATCAAGCTCTATTATCAAATCAAAATTTCTGTTTTCAGAAAAACGACAAAAATCCACAGTCTCCCCAAGTTTTTCGTGAATATTCGACCTTATATAGATCCGTTATAGATCTCCCAGAATTTATGGCCTCCATTTCCCTTCATAATGATTTTTCACTGAAGAAATGTACTGATGTAAGCTCTCATCTTATTCACAGCATACGAGTTTGCCTAAAAGAAATCTCTCTACCACGCCATATGTACTTTTAATGGCATACATATTACACAGCAAACTATAAAACGTCATTTGGGGTTCATTTAAAAAAAATCTTTTTCTTATTACTTAATGATTTATTGTTTCACAAGGCATTGACTGCCAATTTTTTCTGCTCATTCAGTTTTGCCTGAAAGATCCTATCCTTTATCCGTTGTCTTTTTTGAGGGCCAACAAATATTTCCTTTTTAGTTTATGCCATAAGTACTATGATCGGGTGGTAATTTCACCCATTTTCCTCACAAGAATCCAACTTTAGTGGTCGAGTTAGTGTTGGCACAGGCAAGACGATGCAAAGTGTATCTCAAAACTATCGCAAGCTTTTAGTCCTTCGATTATTATTTTTATTAAACCATAAATAAAATATCTATGGAATAACATAACAGGAAAAATGCCTTGACGACTTTTCTTACACATACATACTATTTTTGTCGAAATTTTCCTTTTCAATAAAATCCTTATTTGAAATAACCCCAATAAAAGAAATCTTCTTCTTTATTGGCGTTGGCACCACTAACTCTATTGCAGCTGAAAGAGAAAAGAAAGTATATTGGTGTTAAATCAGGTAATCGAGATGACCAATTCTGATCACCAAAATGATGAATTCTAAAATTAAAGTGTTCCACGAGCTGTATCCCATATGACGGCTTCTTGTTGAAACCATATTTTGTGTTATTATTTTGCGGTATCCAGCACCCATAACAGTCACTGCTTGACAGACCTTGTTTTCAAAATAATGTGGTCAAACAATACCTCCAGCCTAAAATTCACAACAAACAATGATGCGTTGGCCTTTCGCTAACATAAGTGGGTACTCAGAAGTGGGTACGCAAAAGTGGGTTGAGCTTTCTGTATTATTAACGACGCTCTATCTTCGATATTGGATGCCATTTGTCTTGGCGTCTCCAATACATTTTCAATTGAGTAGCCAATGTAGGTTAGAGGCTATAACCGGCCAAAAAAAGTATATAGCTAGAACCAGAACCTCGGAGTTTATGTATTGGTTTACTTAAGGACCAAATCTACTAAAAATAATTCCATCCACAATCACCAAAATGCAACACCCATTACATATTTTCCTCAGCTGCAACCAAACAATTGTGTTTTATGTTTTAATTAAAAGCAAAAGCAACTCAATTTACAAAATTCCAACAAATCCCACACTACCGCACAAGCAAAGCACCTATAAAATATGCAGCATTACACACTCAAAAGCATACATACGAGTATGTACGTGTATTTAAACAAAGAAAAATGTGATATTCATACACATGTATGAAATATTATGTTGTATATCATATATATATATACAATATAAGCTTTTTTCATAAAGAAATAATAATAATTTTCATATCCGAGCGCAAAACGGCTCTGTATATGAAGGTGTGTGGGCAACTCCTTTGGTCGGTAGCATTTAATATTTCATAAAAGTTGCATAAACTCACAGATGTGGGAGGTAGGTAAGTAAGAGTATGCTTTTCTCACCAGTCTACAGACGAATATTAAGCAATAAAATTTAAAAATAGCGTTAGTTTCAATAAAACATGCTGTACATACTCATATGTGCGCCAAAGGACCAAAAGGAACAAGTTGAAAAAATTCATATGTCTACATTATCTGCATGATTTTCGTCATTTTATTTATTTATCAGGTTGTTTATTTATATGTATGTATATATTTATAGTTATATCAGTGCGTATGTAATGTTGTGTTTGTAAGTTCGGTGCGCCCTTGTGTGACTCTGTTGTTTCCTATAAAAATATTTGTGTATGATATTTTGACAAATATTTACTATAAACACAAAATCTGTTTGTTTCCCCCCGTGTTTTAAGAAAAAAAATTAAATTAAAACAGTTTTAAATATATTATAAATATTTTAAATATATTTTTTTTATTTTGTTTAATTTTTATCCCCATTAATTTGATTTAGGGCCCGGCGGAGATAGTCTGACCTCACCATATGCAACCACACTAAGTCCCTTAACTAATGGTGCTGCTTTTGCAGCTACCGCTTCACCTTTAACCGCCTCAGCTTTACAAGCCGCTGCAGCTGGAGTTGCGGGAAAACAGGTAGAAGGTGAGAGATTTGACGTATAATCGTATGTACTTACATAAATATCCAGTGAATTGATATATTTGTTATCTAACACAATCTCTGTGAACTTATATAAAAATTTTAAGTAAAAAATTTAGTATTTATGATTTTTAATTTAACCCTTCTTCTTCTTAGGACCAGATGGCAGTAATCTTTTCATCTACCATCTACCTCAGGAATTCACCGATACTGATCTCGCATCTACATTTCTACCATTTGGCAATGTTCTCTCCGCCAAAGTGTTCATCGACAAACAAACAAATCTCTCCAAATGTTTCGGTTTCGTATCCTATGATAATTCACTATCGGCAAGCGCCGCCATACAAGCAATGCATGGTTTTCAAATTGGCACAAAACGTTTAAAAGTACAATTGAAACGCTCAAAGGATGCAGCTAAGCCATACTGAAGATGCAGCACAGAGAGGAAAGTGAAGTTTAAATAATGGTTATGCATACACGCACACACACACTCACACACAAACATGCATACATGCAGAGAGTATAGCCTGCAGCGATATATAAACCAAAGGACAAAATTTTCTTAGTGAAGATGAAAGTTCAAGTCAAAGTGCTTTTAAGTGCATAAGCATCTTATACATACATATATATATATATATATACATATATATATAATAAATATATATATAATAAATATATTTACATACATAATAAATACATTTGTAGTAGACCAAAGAAAGAGCTTAAATTAAAGAAAATAGTAATACAAAATTTTAATAAATAAATTTATAGATTGTAAAAAAAGTTACTAACTTTTCTAAAACGTGCGTAAATTGAAAAAAGGAAATTGCTGAATAGCTTAGTTTAAGAAAAATCTAAAAAAATTATTTTAGCAATTTTATTAAAAAAAAGTCATTGAAATGATGGCAGCAAAAAAAAATACAAATATCATTGTACCAAATACCGTTAATTTTAAGTCTAAAATGTAATACAAAATTCCCCAGAGTGCACACGTATTTTTGTTCAGTTTTCGAATTTTTAACTATTACTAATGTTTTTTTAAAAAAACTCGTAAATGGAATGAACTTTGAAATTGTTAGACCACTGAAGTATATTTAAAAAAAAAAATTAAATATCTGAAAATTTTCGATTTTTTGATTTTTTTGAAAAAAAAAAAAGTTCAATTTTCTGCATCATATTCGCACAAATTTGGAGCTTTTTTTTAACCAAATATTACATTTTGTTCGAAATTTACTGTAAAGAATTATCGACACAAGCAGAAAACATATCTCTTTTAGCTATCCAAATTCAGAAAGAATTTTTTCTTTGACTAATCTCGATAGAATTAGCAACAAACACTACTCAATACATTTTATTAAAAGGCAATGCAGCAAATATATATACATACTGTTCAACTGCACTAGCAAAAGTTGAAATTTTTTCCTCTCATTAGCTTATATTTCGATTATATTCGAACCTACACTCAGCATTAGCGAAAGTGACAAGAGGGGATTATTTTCAAGGCTTTGAAGTGGATTTAGAAGAATAATAAATGGTAATAGAGTAAAAACTGTGTATAACTGTTGCATTAAGAAAGCTCGAAACATTTTTGTTTTGTGTAAATTTGCAACTTAATTTTTAAAAACTTGTCTTGAGCTGTGACGAAAACTAAAAAAAAAAAAAACAAATTATTAACTTATTAATAGCATCAACGTACGTCAGATATTTTTTGTAAATTACGAAAATTATTCGTCTCATGATGCCCAGTATAGTGTTTTTCGTTTTCCTCAAACCCTAGAGAATCCAAATAAATTTTTTAAAAAACTTTTGCGTAGTCAAGTCACTCAAAAATGCAATTAGAAACCTCGTACGGGTTTCGACACTGGACCATACATATGCAGCCATCTTCCGACAGCAAGAATAATAGTGCTTAAATAGAAAATATTTAAATTTTTAGAAAGTGAGAATTCTATCGGCAAAAATGAATTAGTATTTTACTGGCATAAAGCTAATGCACTGTAGGACAATTAATGTTGCTTAACTGGGAAAATGACGATTAATGAAGTAATCAGTACAAATGGGCAAACTGTCAACTTACTATACAGTACGTAACTAGTACTTTTTTCTGCAGTTATGAATATGTATATAAATACCTGGTACAACTATATTAAAGTTCTTTGCCCATTTTGTGGTGCAGTCATATAAGGATAGCAGAGTTTAACCTACATGAGTTTTTGAAAATATTTTAGTACTTCAAAAATTTCTGATATTATTTTTTTTTTATTATAATAATCAATCAACATGATGCACTTCTTAGTCACGAGTTTTTTAAACCAAAAACAAATTTCAAAAAGGGGCACAAATAGATCAAGTCATAGTCAATATAATTTAAAACCAACACGTTGCATACATATTTACATAGGTACATATATGTATGTATACACAACTGCGTATATGCCACGCTTTATTTAACAAATAAATTAAATTTACAAAATTTTAATTGAAATATGTAATTTAATTTTAAGAAAATAATAATATTAGAAAAAAATAATAATAAAATAATCAACAAAGTAAAAATTGAAAACAAATTAAATGAAAAAATCGTAGTAAATTGGTAATGTTTTAAATTTAATTAAATATGAAATAAACAGCAATTATTTTGTTGTAACTAGAAATAGAAAAATATTATATTGCTTGCGTAAATACATAAATGCATATACTATACGTATAAATATGTATAATAAAATGTGCTTGTGCTCATATGAATACTAGAAAAAGTGTACTTACTATTTACATACATACATACTACATATAGGTAAACTAAGTGTTTGAACTGTTGTAAAATCAAAAATAATTAGTGAAAAGAATATCATATACACACATTCATACATATATATAACTATATACAAACACTAAACTACAATTTTGTAGAATTTTCTTTTTTTTTTTGGAAATCTGTAAAGCGGAAAATTATTTTTAGATTATAATATTATCTACATATTAATAAATGTATTATTGAATTATTATTTAATAAAAATAAAGAAACTAGTAAATGCATTAGTGGGTATAAATTTAGAAACAACGGTGTTTTATTTTCAAACTACTGAAGAAAGGGGAATGATTGATTGGTCTTTGAAAAATAAAAATATTCAAGTGTTTTCTTTTGATGAAGTAATATTAATATTTATCATATACATTCAGACAATTTTTTTCTTCATGAAAAACCAGTTTTTGGTATGTCAGCTCCCATTGAAATACTGATGAAAAATATACAGAGTTATCCATATTCCGGTTTCAAAAATAATCGTAAATAAAATGAATTTGAACACAGACCACTTCGAGTGAACGTGAATCGGTGCGTTCTCTGAAGGCCATACCAGCACGTGACTATTTGACATGTTTCGGTAATTGGAAAAAGCGTTGGCATAAGTATATTCCATCAGCAGGGAATTATTTCCAAGGTGGCGAAATCGATGTGGGTGAATTTGTAGCTATTTTCTTTTTGGCAATACTGGTTTAAACAGCTGACGCACGTTTTGTGTTTTGTTTCACTGTCAAACATTTTCAGTTTGGTCAATATTTTAACCATGAATCGTCTTACAAACGACCAAAGCTTGCAAATCTCAGCGACGAAGCTCATTAATTGGTGCGTAAATAAGCAGAATAGTCGATTTCGGAGTGAAGATCAGAAGCATTGCAACAGCTACGAAAGCATCCAGAAAGGTCACAGTTTGGGTCGGTTTGTGGTGATTTTTGATTACCTTTTGGCACATATTGACGGCATCACAGCCATAACTTGACATAAGGTAGTATTCAAATGGTCAGGATTTATAACATATGACATGGCCAAGTCAAGAGATTAGGATGACGTTTTATTGCTCTCGCATAAGGTCATATTCACTCGATTGAGACATGTGGCAGATTCTTGTTGACATCACATATTGAACAAAGCGTGTTCTTCAATTGCAGAACAAATGGAACCGGTTTTCATATGGCCAGAATTGGCAGTGTCCAATCATACCTCTGGAGCGGCTGAAATCATAATTTTGTTACTTCAGAATTCTCGTGGCCCAAAATGCGAGAAATTTGCTTATTTACGCTTCACCCGAGTGAGAAATGTGTCACATAGCTGAAGAAAATTTGAATGGAAAAATCGGTGTTCACTGCTTTTTGTTCAAATAGCCAATGAAGAAAAAAACACATTCGGGTCTTCGGCTATACCATCCCAGTACCGAGATTTGAAGTAGAACGAGAAAAAGGACGTTAACAGGCCTTACAATATCTGTAACCGATCTGGTCTCTTTAATTTTCTTTCACTCTTCTCTTCAGTTGTCTAATAATTATTTCGCCTTTGACGATTAATCCCACCATAATCTTCACTGAACGCCCAAATTGTGGTCAAGTTTGAATCAACATTTTAGTAGTAGGTTTTAACATTTTTAATACATTGCCCGGTTGTTAAGTTATCTGTTTTCATGTTTGGTGTGAGAGTTAATATTGATAGATGCCCTGCAAATAAAAAATAATATTATTTTTATTTATTTGATAAAAAAATCTCGGTTGGGTATCAGACTTAAAAAATAGTGCAAACAAAGAGCTAACTATCTCGTATGTGTGTGTGTGTGCTTTCGCCGGAAATTCGCTATATAAAAAGTCTTAAAAATTGTAGCATACTTTAGGGCATAACACAAAAGCATGATGCAACAATCACTAATGAAAAACAAAACATAGTTAATCTAAAATGAAATATTACAAATAACTACAAATATTAACACTAAAACGTATACACACACACACACCCACTCATTGGACTAACTCAAAAAGTTACTATTTTTACAGCAGAGCATACATACAAAGTTTTATTTCTGCGCGAAATAAAAAATAAATGTAAACAAAATTGCAATTGCTGTTGCATACAGTGGAGCGCGGATGCAAAAAGAGTTTTGAAAAAAAATTCAAAGTTAGAATTTGATTTGAAACCCATAAGATTCTACTAAAGAGGTTACACATTCCGATTATTGATTTGCATATCGGATTCCTTTTCGAAACAGATTCTTTGTCGATTTCAGGTGTTACAGAAACTGATTTATCGGTTTAAGTGTCAGAACTAAACCGAGTAGTCATACGTGAATCAATTGAAATTTAAAAATATATAAGTGATGAACAGCGGATTTTAAAACCAATAATGCCCGCAATATGGTACATGGTGAAGAAATGATCACGAACTATCCGCTTTTCGTTGTCGTTCAGTCCAATCTTTACTCAGCTTTAGCAAATCATCCTTTCAAAAGCCAGAGACTATACGTCGCGCTAAGGAAATATTTGAGTCTTTACCGCAGTGTCGCTGCAAGTTGAAGCTCAGGTGGGATGAACAGCGTATCTAACTTGTCTTCTCTGACATCCAGAACTACTACAGAGACTTGCTAAGAGGATGTTGGTCTGCAAATCTATATTTTGTATCATCAAATGTAAAAAAGACGCAAGTTGCTCTTAAATGCACTATGACGGCTCCAGCGGATTTCTGTTATCCCTTAAAATTTTGCTCTTTATTCTTACGCTGGTTTCTCCTTTATCATCAAAATTGATATCTCGGCTGGAAAAAGTGAAATCAAGTCAGTTTCATTACACCATTTAAACAGATTTTGATTTTCATTTCCGATAAATAAGCAATTCTGTGTCGGTTTCTATAGCACCCCTG